TTTCATATTCTACAGCTCTTATGCTTAAATATAATAAGATTATTCTCTGAAGTGCAAGAAAACTCTTACTTTTGCAGATAATATTAAATATTAATTATCAGATAATCTTATGTATTGAGAATTCTTCACTCAGTGAACCTCTTTCAATCTTCAGATTATATAATTATTAATATATTATATAAAAGCTTCTGTATCTGCTAACACTTTTATAGTCATCTCTCAATTCTTATTTAAGTGTCTTTTATACATTAACATTTCAGGTCTTAAGACATTGAGATGAGTGTTCACTTCATTCTCACTTATATCTTATTCAGAAGCCTGCTTCTTCTTTATATTTACAGAATTCAGAGAGTCATCTAACACAGATATCTCTTTCACTTTGAAGACTTTTCATAGAATATCAGTGAGTGTCTCTGAGCTCACTGATTCTGCTAGTTTTTTAACTCTCTTGCTTCTCTTGACTGTACACACTGAGTGCAATTCTTTATATCATGATTTTAACATCTGCAGTTAAAGCAAGCTTGATACTTATAATATCAAGATTTTCACTCAGAGAATCTCTTTTTCAGAGAATTTAGCACTTTAGTGATGACATTCAGATCTAAATTCATTATATTCAGATATATAACTTGTGTTGTAGAAGTCTGATTATCTGTTCTCTACTGAGATATACTTGATTGCAGTATTTTCTATTATAATTGACTTACTTATTTCTGTACAATGAGAATATTGTATACTTTCTTCACTGTGTCTGACTGTGAGATTAAGCATTTTCATTTCACTTTCAACTCAGATGTAAGATTATGAATGAAGATCTGTAAATAGAATGATGTTAAAAGCTCTTCATTTAATATGAGATAGTATAAGCTGAAGTGTGTGAAGTATAATATAAAATCACTCACTTGTCTACACTCAGTGAAGTGTTTATAATGCTTATCTTATATATTCACTTTCTTAAAGTTATGTAAGATTTATTTGAAAAACTTATTTCATATTTATAAGAATGAATATCACTCTAAGTCTGTGAGATTCATCTTTTCATCAGTTATTTATAATAACTTCACTTTTCTATGTAGAAATATAGCAGATCTTAAGACTTGTTGAAATTCTGTTAACTATCTGTCTGTGAGTTTATATTTAATCTGATAATATGATTGTATCTGACTTAGTCAGCTGATTATAGTATTATTTTTTCAGTTATTATTAAAGCTTAGTGACTCTGACAGATCTTCTGACTTGATATATTTCATACTCAGATTCTTATTCTGCACAGTGATCTCTGATAATGTATATACTTCTGAAGAGATTGTGAATAATTATGATAAGATCTTCAGATTCAGTGTAGTTATCTATCTGTATAACTATTCAATCTTCTACTGCAGATCTAAGATCTGATTTTCTCTATTCTTATTAATGATAATGATTGTGTCAGTGAAGCTCTTCATAGTGAATACTTGATTCACAGTGAATGTTAATTGTTGTTTGACTTCTGTCTCAGTCTGCCACTGTATACACAAGGCCTTGATCTCATTTAGAATCCTTGTACATGTACAGAGCTTCAATTTCAGTTCAGTGATTTCAGCTGCTTTTCTTACTGCTTCAAGTAAACCCTCTGAGAGGTTCTGTATATCTTTCAGTTCAGGTAGCAGAGAAGAGTGTTGTTCATATTAACTAGAGAAGATATTCATTTCAGTGATTTCTTATTAATTATACAATGTCTATTGTTATATCACTGTGTCATTATATCAGTATATTATTCTATCACTATATCATTATATCACTATATCATTATATGATTTCTGTTATTATTGTACAACTTCAGTGATGACTACTTTTCCTTTTTATTCTTCTTTTGAGTAGGGAGCAGACTTCTTTGAATCTGGTTCATCACTTTCATTTCTTTTCTCACACCTCATCTGTTTATATCTCATACATGACATTCACCTGAGTGTGAAGTTTTCCTCTAACAAGTGAAGCAGCATCAATCAGATGCTCTTTTGCTTATCACTCTTTATACACTATCTTTTGAGATGTTTCTAGAACCACACTGGCATGATAACTATGAATCACTTTGTAGATGAAATTATCATGCTCTGAAGAAGCCTGCACTTCTCACTGATTTTTAGACATGCTATCAGATGTGATTCAAAGGTTGCTTAAGCCAGTGTATGATTACAGATGTACACCGGCTTCTTATATATTGAATCTCATACGCTAAATTAATTAGTGGCCGCTATGGCCCCCTTTACATTCGTACGCTAGTAGTTCGGAAGCGGCCGCGTTATTATCCGACGGTCGTACGTTCTTCCGAACCACAATAACTACAGATCTTTATCTGTAAATCTTTAAGTATGTAATGAAATTTCTGCATATACTGTCAATCATCAGAATTAACAGCTGAATCTGTAAGATAAGTAGAACTCTGAGAGTTCATCAGAGAGTCTGAGACAATTACAGCTTATAACTGATTATATTTCTGAAGAATTATAAGAACTTCTATATTTAATATATCAATTAAGCTTTTAAGTTATATAGAGTGTTAAAATATCAAGAGACTGCTAACTCTTCTATTAAGTTAATTAATAAATGAATCTGCAGAGCTCTGAGAAACAGAGCTTTGAGAAGTTAAGAGTAAGAAAAATGATATAAAAGATATCTGCAGTGAAAGCATACCTGTAAAAGTAAAATAAGATTAACTTGAAAATGAGTTAAATGATAATATAGATAATTAATAAAAGACTGAAGAGAGATTTACAGAATCAGAAGATGAATTAATTATCAAAGATAATAACTGCAGCTGTTTTCTCAATTAAGTTAAAAATAAAGTTGATGAGAAATGTTTTCTATAATATTTAATAACACAGTGAGCTCTTTGAATAGTAGTTTTCTTTTTACAGATTACTGTCAATGAAAATGTATCAGAACTATGAATCTCACAGTGATAAAACTTAATCTCAGATAATATATCTGTTTCAATAAACTGTTCACAGGCTTGAGAGACTGCTGTTGATTGTATGAAGTGTTAATATATCTGAGATGATAGAGAGAGTTCAGGCTCATTTATCACAGAATCTGTGACTGTAGAAGAATCTGATTTCACTGTACATATCTGTTTACAGTTCTACACAGTGTAAAGAGATAATCAGTGATAGAAAAGATGAAATGAGAGAAGATTACAATACCTGAGTTCTCTGAGTGTGGCATTGAAGACAGACAGCTGTAGAAGTAGTAGAACACTGTAAAGAAATGAATTAATCAAGAGACTGATTTTGCAAGCAGTGAACACAGACTTTTGACACATTATTCATTCTTGAGAATCTATGAGAGATAGTTGATCAGATGTGTTATCTATTCAAGAATCTATATAAAGTAGATAGTTGATGAGATGTGTGATCTATTATTCAAGAATCTGTATGAAGTAGATGATATGATTAATGAGATGAAAGATAAACGCGTTGTGAGTGTGTAGAAGAAGTCATAGTGCAATGTCACAGAATTGTGCTTTGCTTAATTCTACATTAATCAGTGAGCTGTATTCGCGCCAAGAACCTCAAAAAGGAAATTCTTCACTTTTAATGACCAGGGTTTTCATCATATATTTGCTTTGCTTCGCTCTGCAAATAAGAAGCCGGCGTACGCCTGTAATCGTACGCTGGCTAAAGCAACCTTTGAATCACATATAGACTACAGAGTTATTGCAAGAATATCACAGATATGATACTTAGTATACTAAGAAGATTGTATAAGACATACAGTAACTCTTGTATATATTTCAGTAGAAGAAAAACAAATCACTGACTTCTTTAATGAGAAGTCAGCATCTAGCTATTCTATATAGATAATGAGTGAATACTCTCCTCTCATTCCATGAGTGAGAATAGTCAGAGTGATACCTCAGCGGCGCCTCACTGCCAAGGAAGAGTAATCTGCTAACCTTGTATAGAAGCAGGGTTCTCATATCCATCAATCGGATCTTCCTATGATATATCCGAATGATGTCATAGGGTGGTTGGAAACCGGTTCGGACGGAATGGAATCATCCGCATGGAAGCGATGGGCCGTGTGGAACGAACCGCAGCGGGGCCTTGGCGCGGCCGGGAGCGTGACACTGACTCATTTTTTGACTTGAGTCAGCCTCACTAGTACTAGCGCGGTCAACTGACCTACGCGAGGGGTCAGTTGACGTGTAATCTGACTCTGAATCGGGCTTCAAAACTCTTCAACAGCAACGATCAGAAACTGCTGAACGACGCCTCTGAAAATCTCGCTGAAAACCGGACTGAACCAGACTTGCCCCTCTTTCAGCTCATGTTTATATGATTAGGAGAATGGCGACTCCTAGATTCTGTGATCCAATAGAAGCTCCCGAGTCCTAACTGCGGTGGGGATATTTGGGTTTGAAAACCAGTAAATAAGGTCCGTGCGTAGCATGGTCGAATCACATCCATTTGCTGTGACAGCATGTTATGTTGCCTTCCGCTATGCATGACGCATCTGCCGCTCAACAACAGCTCTAGAATTTTATTTGCTGGCTGGCTTTTTCCTGCTACACACAAGCTAGCCATACATAGTAGCTTCTGCCCGGAAGAATGACTGTTAGTCGTGACCGAAAGCACTCTCTGGGCGCCAGATATTTTTGTAACTGTCGCCGTTTGCCTAAAATGCGAAGGCTTTAGAGACGAAGTGGGTGCCATGCTCAAGCCTCTCTACTCCGTATATAAGGTGGCATAGTCTCCTCATATTGATGAACCCAACCAATTCGTCTCTTTCAATATCTTTACCTGACGCTCCCCACTGCATCCTCGCAATACTGGCCTGACTCCATCATTCTAAATACTATTCTAGCGGAAATCAATTTGTGTACCAGTATTGGGTTCCATCTTCAGGAGAGGTGTCGTATTCCACTAACTGTCAGTAGGTGCAAGAAATGTGTTGGCAGATGCAAAAAACTCCAGCGAAATGGCCGGATTGCACAGGCGGAATTGGACCGTGCAGCACGCATGAACCTGGCCATGATCATATACAATGGTGCAAACCTGCGGAGCAAAGAGGAAGTCGATGCGAAAATCCAGTCCCGACCTCTCAAGCGAGCTCAACTAAACGCAAGCGGAATTGTCCCAACCATCGAAGTCAGAGTAAACCGGAGGATGATGAAGGACCAGTTGGTGGAAGTAGTGATGGCCAGTCACATGGAGTGAGGGTAGGAGCTTAATAAAATGTTGGGAGTGTCCATAATTAGCCCCAGTTGGATTAGGGGCGAAGCTGTCTTAGTCATGGTTTATCACCTCAAATGTAGCCAATCAATAGCTTTTGTTTTCTGCTGAGAAAAAAGAAATGAGACATCGGGCCAAACCAAAACATCTTACTCCTCCCATCATTCTTGAGTCTTTTTCCTTCAAAGTGAGTACCTTGCTTTATGTGCTAAGAAGTGTAGTCTCGCTGAACAGTTAACATATCTTTCTCTCCTTGGAATGTCCTCTCCCTTCTTGAACCTAGATGGAACTCCTCTCTGTGATCCCGTTCTTGGCCACGGCGGAACAGGAGTCGTCGTTCGACGAGGTGACATCGCCGTCAAGCTGCCATTGAGGTATATTGGTGATAACGACGATGATACCCAAGCGAACTGTCTTGTCATCAAACATGAAGAAGATGTGTATCGACGGCTACAGGATTGTGATGGTGTTGTGCGTTGCTTCGGCTTCCCTGGATATTGCATTCAAATGGAGTTGATGGAAAATGGAGATCTTGCTACATATCTGAAGAGACAACGCCCGGTGCAGTCCCTTCAGCTCTCATGGTTTCGGCAAATGGCTCATACACTTGTTCACATACACAACCGTTGTGTTATAGTGGCAGATATTGCTACAAAAAATTTCGTTCTCAACGCCGACCTCTCCATTAAATCCTGTGACTTCACTGAGTCCTCTATTCTGCCCCTTGGTTCTGACATGGAGCGCGCCGACGACCATGGTTACTCAATTTACACGGACATTGGCCAATTGGGTGCTGTGATATATGAGGTTATAACCGGGCAGCATTGCGAATTTGATCTGTTTAGGGATCAGCCATCGGGGCCTGCCTGCGCAGCCTGGCCGCGGCGGGAGATTCTCCCTTCCACCAAGAATGTTTGGCTTGGTTCAATCATTGAAAAGTGTTGGACTAAAGGTGCATTCCAGAATGCGACAAGTCTACTGGCTGCACTAGAGTTAGTCTCTCTAGATTGTCCACCCGAACATGAAAAGAGGATACATGAACATTTAGGGTTCCATGTCAACATGTTTGAGATACGGCCCCATCTCTCGCTTCCACAGGAGAGGATGCTTGACAAATATTTATCACATGAGAAATTAAATCAGACTCAGCAACTGAACTGGGCGCGGGAAGCTGCTGCTGCTGTCTCATATGCACATTCAAAGCATGTCCTTATTGGTGGTTTTGCCGCACGAAGTTTCCTAATTGCAGATAGGCAAACACTCAAATTATGCCACTTTGCAAACTCTCGCATCGTTCCTAAATATCTAAATATTGACGAAATCAATGAGGACGGTCTATCAGTCAAGTATGACATAGCCTGTTTCGGTTCCCTAATCTACAACATTGTTACAGGAAGGAAGTTCGAAGTTCCCATCTGTCAACTATCCAATTCTAGTGTGCAGGGTTGTGGTGAGGATGCAGCAGTTTCTGAAACTAGGGACTACACAATTCCACGACAAATAGATAAAGGCATACATGGAGAGCTTCCTAACACAGTGGGCGTATTCATGGGCAATGTAATCCGGGACTGTTGGGATCAGGACGGGTATCGGAGGATGGAAGATGTCTGTAGCGCACTCTCTGAGCTCTCAGACCGCGATCTCTCGGGTTTAGTCTTAAGAACTATGGCAGGAAGCAACTCCATACACTGCTCTTTGCAATCTATGTTGACGGTGAAGAGCCGGTTTTGCCCTCATTTATTTCATCTTTGTTTCGTCCCTGTGGTTGCAGTTGTGGCTGTCTCGCTGATATTTCTTGTCCTACATTGAGCTTTCTACAAAGCAGCCAGGCCTGACTTATGAGAAGCCGGACAGAGATTTGAGATACAGGACAGAATGGGAGTCTAGTCAGCTTTATTTTATTGCTACTGTCTAATCATATGCTCAGGTGAAAGTTTGTTATTCGACCCTGGTTTCTTCTCGCTTAATAAATTACCATTAGAGATGAAGAAAACGAGTCAGCTCCTCTTTCACTGTTGAAGCAGCTGAGGCTCATCATGTATTAATTTAATTCTATAATATGCTATGGATGGTTGCTAAGTGACAATCTAGCTGTCGGCGCCCCGGATCAGACCCCACTGAGCAGAGATACTGTGAGTGCCAAAACTTCGCTGACTTCCCGCAGCCAGCATGAAGCATGTTTAGCACCCTTTTGCGTCCAACATTAACGCCATAGGCGGGATCGAGGCCCCGTTGGAACTATGGTGTAGTCACGATGATTGGCTTGCACTTTCTCTTCCACTTCCATGTGTCAGTCATCGGCGATGCTCCCCTTTCCCGGAGTTTTGAGGACCATCGCTGCTGCAGGGCGCTTAATTTTCGGTGTGGAAACTGCTGCTTGATCTCCCACCAACGCCAGCCGCGCGTCTTCAGATCCTTTAGTCGCTCATCTTCACCCTGGGTCCACCGAGATCTCTTCTTGTCCAGCTCCGCGGTCCCTGGATCCTTGTCCACACTTTCGGTGTCGACCTCAGCTACCTCACCATCCATGGCACGCTCGGCGTCCGTTGAAGGATTCCTACGGAGGTCGAGGAGCCTTTGAGCAAAGGCAGACACCAGCGCGGAAATGTCCTCTGGGGATAACAGCCGCGGGCTAAAAGTATGCTCGGAGCCGCCGGCGGGTGCCACCGGCGGGTGCCACCGGACCGCAGCGTGTGCACCATTCGTGATCCACGCGTGTGGAGCTTATAGAGTGCTCCGTGGCAGCCACTGATCGCCCGCTGCGAGGCGCCCGCTTGACCTCTTGATGATGCCCAACGGCTCGCGCACCCCGAGATCGAGATTGTGGTCGACATGATGTGGTAGCGGCTGACCGTGAGGAAATCTTGCGCCGCTTTGATTGCTGCTTCACTGAATCGCCGCCGTCGCTACTCGCGGTGTAATCTCCGTCCGAATCATCAGAGGGATCAGTCGTGCCGGTTATGTCCCACTTCCCCCAGTTGTCATCTGTAGGCTGTGCGGGGCTACCGGGAAGATGACGGTCCTCAATCAAAATTTTACGCTTTGATTTTGACCGGGTGTTCCGTTGGTGGGTCCCGGGGTCATGCTGTGCACTTTCGTTCCCCTTGATTTTTTCCGGGTCTTCTCGATGGCAATGGGAGATGGATGGAATCACAACCGCGACCATAGACTCCATAGACTCCTTTGACCCGACATCGGATCGGCGGCACCGTCCCGTGAAGGGAGATTGGCATTGCCCAGTGCTGCAGGCGTAGGTGTCAGCGTCAGTCTTGCCCTTATGTTGATCCAGTTTCACAGAGTGAGCCACCAACATGGCAGAAGTAGAATCTGCATTCTCATCTGAGGATGCGGAGCCCCACTGTGCTGTAGTGCTGCTACTCTTAGTACTGATTTCTGTTTCTACAAACATGTGTGAGGAACATAGGCCTGTAATTAAAGGAATGCGGTGCAGACTCACCTTGGCTGCCATGTGGGGATTCTTGATTGAGTGTTTCATCTTGCTCCCTATTCAACTCCAACAAGTGAGGTTGCTCCTCTGATGCCGACAGAGGATTCGATTTACCGTTGCTGGTGAGTGGTTCCGCCAACGAAGCGGATTGGGCCGTAATGGAGCCCAGGAACAACTCCAGACTAGGTGAGGCTTCATTCGTCTTCTCCTGGCATCGATCCTCATTCCTCTTGTGAAAATCTGGAAGGAGATCTGGATTAGAGATGCAAGAAGCCCAGAACGTTCGACGCCCTTGGAAGAGAAGAAGGGACAACGAAGAAACCAATAAGCCTACCTATGGGATCATGTCTTGCATCGTACGGGTGCGGCCGCGAATCTAGAGTGATGATGTCGCCACAAGAAGTGATGTCAGTGGTCAAGTCCACAAAGCTCTTGCTGTCGAGGCCTTCGGCAATTCCATTCTCTATAAAGGCCTTATCGAAATCGTTCAGCACAATAGCCTGTGCCAGATCTTGGCCGTTGCGGCCGCCTTGAAGTGGGGCGCACGGTGGGACACTGGAAGGGGGACGGCTGGGTAGGGGATGTGGTTTCAGTGATACAGGGTGCATGGGCTGAGTCTGGAGAGATACAGATGTAGAGTATGGAGGGGGGTTGGCGACATTAGGACGGCCAGGTAGGCAGAAGGGGAAGAGGGAGAGGGGATGGAGAGGCCTGGGGGGTTTGAGAGGGAGTGTTGTGGGTGTAGAGCATGGAGGGCGAAAGTGATCGGGATGGGCTTGAAAGGTTTTACGTTCTGGCTGAGAGGGGGTATAGTTGATGAACTCCATGGGGGCCAAATGATATTCACCTGCTCTGAAATGGTCTCACGGGCTGTTTTGTTCAATCTCGCTGGTGAGGTTCACAATTTTGCGGGAGGAAGAAGGCCATCTATATAGCAGGTTCAGAAGTGCGGCACTCACTGGCTCAATGCAGAGCAAGATGGCTTGAGCTTCACTGTGCCAAAGGAGCGGGTGCCATTTTCTGACCCAAACCAGCGCATGGCATGAGCTAAGCCGACCAAGAACCGTCTCCCCAACCACATTCGAAAAGCACGGCGAGCCCATCTTAGCAGCCTCTCACACTGCGAACGGCATATGTAACTCCCTAATGCAACCTGAGCAAGAAGAAGGCAGCGCCAGGATGATCATAATCTATTAAGAAACCCCAAATGATGCCTAGATTGGCTACAACAATCCATTTCACTGCAGATATAGGAACATGACTAAATTACATGTGAGTTCTGTGGTGAGGATAACCAGCAGGGGTCGATGTTGCAAGGCATACCAGCCGATACCATCCAGCTTGCGCAGCCCGCTAACACCTCATCATCCAAGCTTAAGCTTCGCCTCCAGCAAGGAAATTGAATATGTCGTCGCCCTTGCAGGGGATAAGGGATGCAGGTGGCGGTGAGCCGGCCCACCGTTTGTCAAGAGGAGGAGGGATACAGGCGTCAGGGTTCGGCGATCGCCGATGAAGAGGGGGGAACAAGGGAAGGCTGAAATTGGAAAGGAAAACGAGGTAGAAAGTGCGTGCACAAGAGAGGGAAAGGGGAGCATCTTATATAGTTGCGATGGGTGACGTCGATAACGGGCCACAGCAGCAAGAGCAAGCGCGCGCCATCCCCGAACAGGCGGCGCCAAACCGAAATCGGACATGCCAGACCCCGAACATGCAAATCGAAATTCTCCTTATAAGTGATTTTGTTATAATAATAATTATCATGTCATTTCAACAGATATATAACAGTTTGAAAATTCTGCTATAGTTCTATTTTTACATATCAAATATCAATGAAAAATGAATTTTAATGAGTTTTAAATTGATTACTTCTGCAGCAGTAAATTTTATTAACTATTATCTATGATATGGTTACTATTATATTATCTCTCAGATTATATCATCACAGTTATTCATTATAATTCTTGATCTTTAATATTTACAGATCTCTGAATGCTGTATGACTACATTGAATACATCAGTAGATATCACAACTTGTTCTAGTATATAGTATATATAGTATAGATTGTTTGATATATTTGATGAGTTATACAGAGTTATATATAGAATCTACTGAACAGAAGACCTTATCTGACCAGGTTAGTATGTATAACCCTGGCCAGAGCTGTCCAGGGCTGTACAAGCTGGCACTGTATAGACTTATACAGCCCTGGACGGGGTCACCCTAACTAACTACATGTACGAGGCCAAGCCGAGGTTGCGCGTTTAGCGCATCGAAATTAGCCGAATCGACGACGACAGCTTACTGTTAACCGGCTTCAACATTCCAAAGCCGAAGCCGAACGAGCTGGCGAGGGTATTCAACATGCGACCAGGACGAATGCTGATAAGAAGAAACGTCGAATGACGGGTTTATCCAGACCTGGAAAATATAGGACATGGTCACATAGCGACAGCACAGCCAAGTGCCATATTCCGCTTTTTGTCACTGTTCACCCACTTCAAGGGATACATACATACAGGATACCATGTCTGCGCCTGCGACAACAACACCTCCTCCGGCCGCGAGATTTGTCCTCTTGGACTTTCCTGCCCCTCATGTTCTTCTTGTTACTATCAACCTTGAGAAGCAAATGAACTCTCTGCCAGTCGACGCAGTGTGGGAGATGCATCGAGTTTGGACATGGTTCGACAATGAGCCTGAGATGTAAGTTGGCAGCTATATGTCTGGAGCAACGCGCGATTCAAATGCATTGAGTATGGCCTGCGAAGCTCCATTTGATTCTATCTATTAAAGCTCTACTCTATAATAGGCGCGTGGGAATTGTCACCGGGGCGGGTAAGAAGGCTTTCTCGGCCGGGATGGATCTGAAAGGTATAGTCATAAAATCTGTTTCCAATTTACCTCATGCCTTCATCTCATCCCTTGCACCGCCCAGAGATACAAAATTTAGACTTATCCGTATGTCTACAAGGATTATAGAGCGGCAATCGTTGTCAGCATCTGATTTTGATTCCGCTGCACGGTTAAACGCATACCCCTCCACTGGTTTTGCCGGACTCACTCGACGAACGGGTAGAAAACCAATAATAGCGGCTTGCAACGGGCATGCGCATGGTGGAGGTTTTGAAATCGTCCTCAACAGCGACATCGTGATCGCGTCAGAGAACGCGGATTTCCGACTCCCGGATGTATTGCGCGGAACAGCAGCGATGGCTGGTGCGTTTCCACGGCTGTGCAGAACGTTTGGCCTTCAAAGAGCCATGTGGCTCGGTTTGACGGCGCATACCTTGACGGCACAAGAAGGTCTGCAATGGGGCCTTGTCCAAAAGATTGTACCCATTGATGACCTGATTAGGGAGG